AGTGTTGGAAGAAGGAAGTCCCCGTGGGCGTCCGTTAGGGATTCTCATCGTGGCTCTGTGCACATGGGCACGGGGCAGAGAGGGTTGATGGCCTTCATCACACTCTCAAGTGGTCTGTGACCACTGAATAACAAATGGGTGAACTAACTAAATGGGTAAATAAAAATAAATCACCAAGTTCTGCAGGCACGCATGGCTGCTGCACTGTCGTTGGCAGCACCGTCAAGGTTGTGTGAATTCAAATGTGAGCTGACAAATGTTCCAATTTTCCTGGTGATCAGAGGCAGGTAGAGGTCAGAACTCAGGTCCTCTCTAATATAGGGCGTTCTTGCCACAAAGCTCCAAAGCATCCTAGTGAAACCCCCACCCCCAACCCCGCTGGTGCTTCATGCTGGCTCAGGCTGAGTGTCCTCTCTTTGCTGGTCCCAGCTCTGACCAGGGATTGTGTGACAACCCTGGGGTCCTCCCTTCCCCTCCTTTTGTTCTCTCCACAGAGCCAGCTCTGATGAGCCCCAGTCACTGGCTTGTGTGCCCGGCCTGGCTCCAGTCTTGGGGCTCTGCTATGACAAGCTATAGATGAGCATGGAAGGGCCCGGGAGACACTGGGCTCTGAGCGCAGTGGCTGAGAGTTGGGTACAGCCCTATTCTGGGGATCCCTGAGGCCACTTCTCAGAGAGGTGAATAGCAGCACCCAGGGTGCAGGATCTGGAAGTCCTTGGACTCCAGGGCAGGACATGGTGTGCCGGTGGAGTACGGCTGTGATGGGGCTAAGGGCAGCCATGAGGGTAAGACTCCAGAACCCATAGGAGGACTTGGTACTTGGCAGGGCGGTACACTCACTTGAATCTAACTACATGGTTTTGTTTTGCCTTCCTCCTCACTGAGGTTCCCTCCATAGATCCGTGGAGTGGTTTTCCCACTACCGCCTTAAGAGAGATGCTGCTTCCCAGAGGCATGCTGTGTGTTAGGTGCTGTGTGTTAGGTGCTGTGTGTTAAGCTTGGCTATGGCCACTCTTTCAGTCTGAGAGTCACTGCTATGCCTGTCCTCCTGCCCAGAATCTCTCTGTCTCTCCTCTCTTTCTCCATCTGTCTGTCTGTGTCTGTTTCTCCCTCCCTCCCTCCCTCCCTCCCTCCCTCCCTCCCTCCCTCCCCTCCCTCCCTCTCTCCCTCTCTCTCTCTCTCTCTGTGTGTGTGTGTGCGCACACGTGCATGTGCATGTGCATATGAGTGTGTGTGCACTTGTATATGTTAATATAGAGGTTAGAGGTTAACATCAGAAGTTTTCCAATGTCTCTCCATCTTACCTTTAGAGAGGCTGAAGCTCCCTGATTTAGCTAAACTGGCAGATAAATGAGCCCAGGGTTGTCTTGTCTATGTCTCCCTAGCTCTGGGATAACAGGTACACACCACATGCTCCAGCTTTCAAATGAGCACTAGGGTCTGAACAGAGATGCTCATGCTTGTCCATCATAGCCTCCATCCTTGGCTCTCACTGCCTGAACTGGGCGTTTCCAAACAGGGGAGCTTCTTTTGAACTTGGTGGACAGTGGGCTCTTTTCCACATGGTGGCCTTAAAGCATTACCTGGATGAGACACAGGGAGGGCAGCAGGAACGTTGGCTTCCCTGGTCCTTCTCTTTTGGTAGGTCTGTGTGTATCTGGGCCTGTGTGCTCTTTTGACATTGTTCTTTATTTAGGAGAGTGACTTCAAAATGAAATTCTTCCACAGTAGCTTCCTACTGGAATTGGAGGCAATAGCGTGCATCTGGCTATCAATGTGTGTGGTGAGGTAACTGGCTTCTGTTTTATTGGACATGTTCTCCTTTCTCCACAGATTCTGATATCCCTAAGCAGTGAGCACCCCAGGCCTAGTTCTTGGTCTCTAAAACTATTCTGTGATATAAGGACAAGTAGACCCTTGGAGAAATGGTTAATTCAAGAGGTGGCTCAGAGAGTAGAGCTCTTGCTACATAAGACTAGCGACATGAATTCTATCCTCTGAACCCACAGGCACGTATGCATGTGAAGTTTGTCATCTCTAATGTTACACATGTAGAGCTGCGTATAGACTTTATAACACAACAGCTACTGACATTGTGATCACACCTCTAATTATTCCCATTTTGATGTCGAGAACATGGAGTGTGTATGGAGGTCAGAGAAGCCAATTCCCTCTTTGCATTTGTGGGTTCAAAGGATAGAAAGCTTTCCTTGTGAGTGTAAGTTTTCTCTATGCTGATGTCTAGAAGAGAAAGAAACAAATGTCATACAGACCCTTCTGTTTGCTTGCCAGAGCCCCCATAACAGGAAGAGACAAGGCAGCTTAGTTCCCAGTTCCAGAGAAATTCAAGTTCAAGGTGTGGCAGGGCTGGCCTATTTGGGGCAGGTGGTAGTCCTGTCTGTCTCCTGATTCATGGCAGCCTTCTTCTGTGCATGTCTGTGTTAGAATCCACCATGCTCAAGTTTCATAGGGCCCACCCTAAAGAACTCATTTCAACTTAATTGGTTTTTAAAGTCCTTATTATCAAACACAGGTTCTGAGGCGCTGGGACTTGGGACTTCAAACGTAAAGCATGAGGGACAGGGGTGGCAGAATCCATCCCATGCACTACACAGTTCACATTCTTCAACCTCTCTAAACTCACTTCTGGCACTGTCCTTGTAGACTCCGTAGAATATTTTAGAAAATGATCATGTCGTGTGGTGACAAATTCTATTTAAGCCCCAATTTTCCAATCTGATTTTTAAAATTTTCTTTTTCTGGCTAATTACACTGGCTGGAATCAAAAGCACATGGCTGAGCAGACCAGGGAGAGCGGGGCTCAGCCACCAGTGCTTCGCTCCTGAATTCAGAGGAAGCATTTAGCCTGTCACATTAAGTCTGATGTCAGCTCAAGTTTCCTCATAAATGCACTTATCAGCTTGAAGAGGTTCGTCTCCCCCTACTTTGATGTGTTTGATTTTTAATCATGAATGATTGTTAAATTTTGTCAGATGCTTTTTCTGTGAGATAATCATATAGTTTGGCTTTTAGTCTGTTAATTAGATGAATTACACATGACTTTTTTTTGGCGGGGTGGGGTGGGAGGGGATAGGGTCTTGCTATGTAGTCCAGGCTGGCCTTGAACTCAGGCCTCCTGAGGGGTAAATGCTTGGTTGACAGATGTACCCCACCACACCCTGCACACATCAGGTTTTTAAACACTAAAGACACATTGCACTCTTGGTACAAACTCACTTTGCATCAGCCTCTTTATATTGTTGGGTTCAGGTAGTAATTTTTGTGCTCTGTGGTGCCAACTGTAGTGACTGTTAGGTTTTCCCTGGTCAGGAGTAGTACCATCTTCGCTCAGTCCTCCTTGGTCTCTTGGTTCGCACAGTGCTGCTCTTGTTTCTTTCAAGACACTTGAGGAAGTTAGGGAGAAGCCTTTTGATCATGGGGTTCACTGTGGAAGGGTTTTCTTAGATTTCAAGTGATTCATAGCATTCATTTATTCTTTACTAAAATCAGATCGTGTCTTTCAAGAGATTCATCTAGTTCGTGCAAGTGTCAAATTATTTGCATAAATCGTGTGATTTGCTGTTACCTGTTGGGTTTCCATAGGCTCTCAACACTGATGTGCCTCTCGTCCACAACCCCCATCCATGTCGTCTGCTGCTGCTCCGCTTTGATCCGTTTTGTTGATTTTATTAAGGAACCAGTTTATTTTACTTATTGTTTTCTACACTGATCTCTATTTGTCTTCACATTTTCTACTTTGCACTTCATTATTAATACTTTACGCTTACATTCTGCTCTGCTTTTTAGTTTATTAAGATCATTACCCTGAGATCTATCCGTTTTCCTTTTTATTTACTCTTTGAAGACTTCGTGTGTAAACATCTTGATCATACCCACCTCTCACTCCTATCTCTAATTGCCTCAAGGACTCCCAGCTACATCCCATGACCTTATTTGTCTATTATTTATTTTAACCCATTGAATCCAGTTAGTACTATCTATATGTGCATGGGCACGTGGCAATCTACTGGGATATGGGGAATCGACCAGTGGCCACAACTTCTGAAGGAAAGTGACCCTTGCTTCCCCAGGTGCCATCAACTCCTGATAGCTCCTCAGCTAGAGGCAGAGACTCTGGACTTGACACCCCCCCTACCCTGTTTCCATGCTGGACTTTTTAGCTAGCTTGACCTTGTGTGTGTGTGTGTGTGTGTGTGTGTGTGTGTGTGTGTGTGTGTGTGTGTGTGTGTGTAGATCTAATGTGGTAACCTTAGCTTTCTCGAGTTCATGGGTACTTCCCCCGCCATGAACACATTTCAGGAGTCTGGTCTTGCACCGTGGGCTCCTGGGATCCAGCTCAGGTCATGGGCCTTGTGCAGCAACTGCTTTTACCCAGGGAGCCATCTCCCTTGCCCTCGCTTTGAGCCTATTGAAGTTCTATTCACAGATCACAGACACTTGAGATGGCTTTGTGCTTTTGATGAATTGCTCATGCATCATTAATGACCCTCGTAAGGCAGACATTCTTGTCAGGACCCCATGATTCCTGCCTCCTGGAGCTCACGTCTTGATGGTAGGCAGGGCCCATGATTTACCTCCAGCCACTAGAGTGGAAAGGTGACAAGAGGAACAGCAGTGTGGCACACGACACAGAAAGTTGTTCCTTAAGATCACAGGGGCCCTCTAGCTTGTTTCATATATCTGTCTCCTTTCCTAGTTGCAGAGTTGCAAGAGGCATGTGGGAAACTCACGCCTCGGGATGGCCCTTTACATAGCTGTGGAAACAATGCTTGCGATATTGTATAGACGCAGCACATTCTGTGCATCTCTTCATCTGTTGATTTGGGTTATTTGCTTGGCGGATATGGAGACTGGTATGCAAATATCTACTTGAGTCCCTGCTATCAGGCCTGGAAGCGTACACGGAAGCATGACTGCAGACTCGGGTAGAAAGTCCACTCTTGGTTTCCCAGGGAGCGGATGAGCGGTTGCCCACAGAGGCTGCACCCTTTCACATTCTCACCAGCAATCTTAACGGCTTCTCATTGTTTCCCGTTGCAGGTTGTTCCATTAACAGTGCCTATGCTAGCACCCCAGCAGCTGTAAAGTAAGTTTCATTACGGTTTGGCATTTGCATTTCCCTGATGATTAGCAATGTATTTATAAGCTGTTTGTGTATCTTTAGAGAAATGTCTATTAAAGTCATTTGCCTATTTTAAACTGAGGATTGTTATTATTATTATTATTGATCTATAAGATGATGATTATTATTATTGAGCTATAAGATTCTTTACTTATTCTGGATGTTAATATCTTGCCAGATGTATAATTTGTAAATATTTTCTCTGTCTCTGTGAGCTGTCTTGTAAATAATTTACCTTTCATGGATCCTAATTTACCTATATTTTCTTTTATTTGGTGTTCTTGGTGTCACATCCAAGAAGTCATTAACAAACCCAATGTTGTGAAGGTTTTTCCCATGTTCTTCTCTTTCACTATTTTTTGTTCAGACTTTGTTCCATGCAAGTTAAGTTTTATGCAGTGCATGGGCAACGGATTGAGTTTAATCTTCTGTGTGTGGATACTTAGTTTTCTCATAACTGTTTGTTCGAGGCTGGCCTCTCCTCACTGAATTGCCTTGTACCTTTATCAACTAGCCGTATATGTCAGAGCTTATTTCTGGCCTCAGTATTCCATCCCATGGTGGACGTTTTCATGTAGTTACTGCCCCTGTGGGTTCTAGTCCTCCATCTCATTTGTTTCGTACGACCCACCTCTACTCTGCACAGTTTTTCTTCCATCTTATGCCTTGTTTGGATTAATCAGGATACTATCATTTTAACCTCAGTTGCTGGCTTTTTACTTGGTTCTCACCAAGTTTCAGCGGTTGCCTGATGGCTCATCTTTGTCTGTCCCTCCTGGATGCCACACTCCTACTGGCACCATTTTCCTCCTGTGCATGTTTGACTTTCATAGTGTCCTCCTCTCAGTGGTATTCCTGGTCAGGTGAAGCTTGTCTAGCATTTTACCCATGCGTTTTCTATGGTGCTGTTCACTTTTTTTGTATAAAGTCTTGCATTGTTTTCCACTTGCAAGAAGAGCTTCGACTAATACTCTAGAACAGTAAGATGAGTTCTTGGCTCCTGGACATGTGAGGAAGCAGCCTGTGTCCTAGACACCATCTCTACACTGTGCCAGCCACCATGTTCCCTGTGCTCTATCCTGATTGGTCCTCTCTTCTCCCTTTAACTTGTGGGCTTTTGTCTTAACCATGGGCCCACTTCACAATCCAGAGAGCATCCTCCTTTGTGTATGGCCCTCTGATGAGCACCCACAACCCCCTTTGCTGGTTTGCGTTTTTTTTTGTGAACCTCTTTTCCTGTGACCCAACAAAATAGATTCTTGGACATGCATGTCTTAGAGGAGGCGAAATTGTTTTCCTGCATTTCAATGGGGCTAAGCAAGATAATGAGACTCCTCAGCAAATACAGAAACCAGGGATTCCTAATTTAATCAAGGGAGAGACCAGCAAGTGATGGGAGGTGATACAGTAAGGGCGAATTCTAGATGACTTTTGAGGGCCTTAGTGATGAGGGAGACAAGAAGTACTGAGAATTAGTATGGTGAGGGAGACTCCAGCTTTGAGACTATCTGCCCTGGTTAGACACTAAAAGTGTCAGGGGTCTTTAGATCTGTGCCTAGGGGGCAGGAGTTTGGAAGCTGGAAAATAATTTTTCAGGGTTAAGAGTGCCAAGTGAGTTCAAGGTGCTGTTTCTGGACCTGTGTCTGTCTGCCTGCTATCACCATGCTAAGCCACCATGAGAATCTTCAGTATCTCAGCCCAACACAAGCAAGAAGCCTGCCTGCTGACAGCCCATCAGCATGGAACTTCCCCCAAAAATGCCTTCTTAGGGAGGGTCCAAGGAATAAGAAAGTGAGTGTCTTTGCTCTCACTACATTTAGGAGGAGTCATACCTTGTATTTAATTGTTCTTTGTCTCTCCTGCCTCTCGCCTTTCTCCAAGTATTCTTTCTTCATCTACAAGTTATCTCAGGTTTTCATGATCCTGGAAAACTCGGTTGTTGTCATTAATGCCAATGACTCTGGTATTCCTGTTCAGTGCCTTTCCCTGAAGAAGGAGAATATCGAATGCCTAGCTTCCTATGTCTCCAAGACCCCTGTTGCTAAGATAGCCTCTTGCCATATTTTCAACTCATTTATCAGGTTTTAGGATGGTTTAAGATGCAATCCACTGTGTTAGTTCTACATGTTAGGTCATCAGGTACTTAGATGAGACAGCATCATTGGCAGCTAAGCCAAAAATGAGTTCACAAATGTTCACCCAAATGGTGATTTCATGTTGGTCTGGGACCAAAGCTACCAGAAGACTGCAGAAATGAGGCCAGGAGAATTGTTGCCATGAGCCGTGACCGAACACTCCAGAGCACTTGCTACTTGCAGTGACTGTGACTGGAGTCAAGATGTTGGCCTTCTCTACTCAGTGCTCCCCTCCCTTCTCTTCTTCCCTCTCCCTCTTTCTGGGAGTCTCAAGCTATAGCCTAAGCTGACCTGGCACTCACTACACTGTAGCCCACGCTGGACCCAAACTCTTAGTGATTCTTCTGACTCAGTCTCCCATGTCCTGGGATTCCAGGTGTATACCTGGATTAGAGTCTTTTCTCTTCCTGGATACAGTTGTGAAGTTGAAAAGATGATTTTTGTGTAATGTGATACCTGACTGAGATAATTACAGCTCTCCCTGAATTCTTAGCAACTGCTTGTCTCTGAGCAGAATAACAACATTTTTTATCACCCCCCCATTTTAAAAGAATGGCACCTGGTAAAGGGAAACCCACTCACAGCTAGACACAAACAGAACCTGGAAATAGGACATGGGAGAGGGAGAGCATGGCCTTCACCTTCCCCCACCCTGTCAGACCTGGGTGAGGTCTCTATGAGGCAGCCTCTACGGTCTTCTCAACCCCACCATCAGCTTCCTGACTTCATAGAGTTGGTGTTCTAGCCTGTGGCCACTCAGGGAAGGAGCTGTGAAAGAAACTTGGTTGGGTGTGTTCCATGTGGAGTGACTCCTTCCTCAGGATGTTCTGTGGCTTGGGGAGCAGAGAACACAGGAGGAAAAGAAAGGAGAGAGAGAATGATACAAATGAAGGAGATATAATTGTCCCTTTTAAGACTTCTACCTAATTTCTACTTCCCAGGAGTATAGAATAAGTAGTTTTTCCTTCTTATTTAAAAAAGAATTAATTTGATTTTTCTAATTGGAACACTTTCTACTCACTGATTGCCAATTGGAGTCAGATCATGAATAAAAGTTTAGAATTACAATTCAAGAGAGTCATGCAGTTAAATAATTAAGTTGTCTGCAAAAGAAAAAAAAAACAAGTCTGGTTGAAAAGGGCAAATGGGGTTGGCTGTGCCTTCTGCCCAAGCCAGTGCAGGGGACACAGGGTGAGATAAGAGTTGATGGGTAAGCAGTCCACAGTGACCAGTGCCACCCGACCCCACTGGGCAGACAGTGGTAGTCATAAGAGGTGGGAGTCAGACCTGGAATATGGGAGCAATCCATGGAGATGGGGTGTTTTTACAATTATGCCTATTTCTCTCCCCTTGCTCTGAGCTCTAGACTATGGTGCCAGGAAAACCACAGAGACAGTCAGAGGAATGTATCTCAGGACAGCTAGAAGTTCTAGGCCTAGCCATTAGTATTGGAGTGAGCTTGTATTGGCCCAACCTTGAATCCCCTCCTGCTCCTTGTCCAGTGTAAGCCAGATCATTTGATCCCAAGCAGACCAGATGGACCAAGAATGGACTCCTTAAGGAATATGAAGGACCAGGAACCAGGTTGTCAGTAAGGGGTACCTTTCCAGTGGCCTCTGTCCACAGTTCAAGAGGATTCACGGACATATCAAAACAGTCTGGGGATGCAGCTCAGATGGTAGGACACTTGTCTAGCATGCGTGGCACACTCGGTTTGATCTCCAGCAGACATAAACCAAGCCTGGTGCTACATGTTTGCAATTCTAGAACTTGGGAGATGGAGGCAGAAGCTAAAAGCCATACTCAGGTACATAGTGAGCTTGAGGCCAGCCTGGCTTATATGAGACACTACCTGTAAACAAACAGAGAAAAAGGGAAGTGGTGGGACAGGGGTGGAGAAATACAGGACCAGCACCAGCAAGGTGATGGTCAATGCGTGCTGCTCAGTAGAGGTGAGCAGGAGAGCCGACTACACACAGTGACGAGAACAATCAGCCCGTTCTAATCTGAAAGGGATGGCACAGCACAGCAGGGACATCAAAGCCACTTCTCAAAGGCCCAGAAAGCCAAGTAGCAGCACCAGGGATAGACGGATACCAATGCAGAACGTCTAGACACGAAGCCTGTCATGTCTGAGATGGAGAGATGCCTGGGAAGGGTCCATTGGTGGAACACATACAGCAGGAGAAAGGACTGGGAACTTGGACACACGGGAGTGGGAACTGTCATGAGGAGACAAACGCGGAATGCTGTTAAGAGCAGAAAAGGGGGATAGAGAGAGATAGCTCAGCGGTTAAGAGTGTTCCCTGATCCTCCTGAGTCCTTGCCTTTGGTCCCCAGCACTCAAATGGCTCACGACCATGTGACTCTAGTTCCAAGGGATCCAATGCCCTGTTCTGGCCTTCTCTGGCACCTACACGCATGTGGCACATTTGCACGCATACAGGCAACATTTTTTTTAAAAGACAAAAGGCAGCTCAAGCAACTGGGAGATGAGAGGAAACTACAAAGAAAGGAGAGTTCCAGAAAAAACAAAGGATAGGAGCAGTTAACTTGATACAGAAAGGAGAAGCCACCCCTCCAGACCCTGACACAAGGAAACAAAGAGTGTTATGAAGAGTAAGACCAAGCCAGGCAAGGCAGAAGAAACTCTGGCACTGGGGGAGGGGGTGGAGACAGGAGGATCAGGAGTTGGCATCTCTGGCTACATTGTGACCATAGAGGCCAGAGTAGGCCACATGAGAACACCTCCAAATAAATCGAAACAATTTATGTGCCCAAGTTTCTACAAGCAGGATGGATAAATTCTTAGACCACTAGAAGGCCATAGATTGACCAAAATGAAATGTAAACCATTTCATAAGTACTAAAGAAATTGAAGAAAACTTCTCTCACATATGCACCTAGAGAATTGTTGGGGTGGTTTGCTATGTTGGAAAATTCTCCCCAGCTACAGTACTTGGGAGCTTCCCACTTGCACCCCGTGCCCCTGAGAAGTTAGCAATCTTCCCTCCTTTGAGAGGGGGACTGAAATACCCTCTGGATCCTTAGGGGGAGAAATGACCCAATAGAGCAGCTCTGGGCACATCTGGCTATACAAACGCTCTTAAGGAGACTGGTAACCTGAGGATCTGCTCAGTATCAATTCTGTGTGCCGGGAACTATTCAGAGCACGGCGCCCAAAGTGCAGGTCCTTTCTGTGCTCTGGGTTCTGAGCTGGCTCGGGAGAATGCGCTGTGCATTTGCGTTTTTCTGAGTACGGTTCTCTGAGCCTCCTACCCTTGTAATGGGACTGAGTCTTCCAAACACAGGTGGGCAGTTCCCAGGTGGACACACCGGGGGAGGAGACCCGCCTTCGGAGCCTCAGAGAGACCCTGCCGTCTGCTGCCCAGGCCTGAGCTGGCATTTGATGTGTACTCTTCCCAGCTGTGTGGGCACTGTTTGGCTGAGGAGCATGACCCCACTTTCTGCAGTGCCCCTGGGTTACCTCCATGGCTGCTGTTCTCCCCAGGCTCTCCACTCCTCAGGGCTCCCCTTGCCTCCTTATAGCACACAATTCCTCCTTTAAAGTTCCAGCAAGGTTCTCTCCAGGTAGACCTCCCCAAGTCCATCTGAAGAGTGGTGCCTTCTCCTAGCAAAGTACACCTTCAGCTCTTCACCGTACCCTGTGAGGGCGTCTCCGTGTTAGATCCACTATGCATTTAAAGGACCTTGGCTCTAACGTTCCGGTTCTGGCCTTTCACACTGACAGTTGTATCAAGAGATACCCCATGCAATCTATGAGTTGCAAATAGGGTAAGAGTGCAGCACTCGAGCCGGGCGGTGGTGGCGCACGCCTTTAATCCCAGCACTGGGGAGGCAGAGGCAGGCAGATCTCTGTGAGTTCGAGGCCAGGCTGGACCGACAGCCTCCAAAACAATACAGAGAAACCCTGTCTCGTAAAACCAAAAAAAAAAAAAAAAGAGTGCAGCACTCCTGGCTACACAAGCTGGTAGCACTCACATCCCACCTGTGGCCGTGCCTCCATGCCCTCACCCTTGTGGAGATGACCTCACGGCTCAGTTTGAAACTGTGGTCTCCAATACCACTCCTCCCCTGGTTATCGTGTGAATCGCATTCATTGACGCTGCGACAAGTTACCAGACAGACGCAGCACAAGGAAGGGTTTCCCTGGGGTTAGAGTCTGCAGGCGTTGGCCATTGTGGGAGGCAGGGGAGATGCAGTGGTCAGGGTGGGAAGCTGGGCGGCCGGTGACATCACGTCCACCGTCGGGAAGGAGAGAGCTGAACGCCGTACTCAGCTCACACGTTCCCTCTTCCCTTTCTGTGCAGCCCCAGTGCACAGATAGTGTCTCCTACATTCAGGGTAGATCTTCCCCTTCCCACCTCAGTTAAACTGCTGGAAAGGTCCTCCAGACACGCCCAGAGCTGTCTTTTGGGTGGTTCTAACCCCATCAAGTGTACATTGCACACAGGTCTGCCTGGAGTGCTTACTGCTCAGGGGTGGGTTTAGGAAGCACCACACTCTCCTCACTAGTAGGGAGCATCTCTCACTGTGTCTGACGCTGACATTAATAATGGCAGAGTAAGACGAACAAGTAGGAAAACATGCAGGTCAGCTCTGAGCAGGATGCAGGCTAGTGTCAAAACAGGTGGATGACAGAGTCACTTTCAAACACCGAGGACTTGAAATTAATTCCAGGGTCATCTTCAGGCTGGCCTGGAGAAACCTACACTTCCTCACCACCTGCTAGGGAATACCTTTTCTCGGTGGGTCTTCAGTTTGAGATTCCAGCTTATGGCTTGGAGAGTGATGTCAGCACGGACGATTACTGTCCTGTTGGTGGGAACTCCCGATGTCAGCAACGTCCTGTTTGCTCACAGGGTATCCTAGCAGTATCAAAGATATCCTTGAGTAAAATAGGTCAACAGTACTTAAGACAAGTGATGCTTTAGTCAGGCTTCAGTAGCTTCTGATAGATAGTGAGTAATGCCACGTTCATGCACGAGTGTGTGTGTGTGGTGTGCATGCATATTCATGTGTGGGGGTGGTGGTGCTGTGTCTATGTGTGTGCATATATATTCACATATGTGTGTGCACATGGAGACCAGAAGTTGATGTCAGGTATCTTCCTCTGAAGTAAGGTCTCTCCTTGAAATCAAAGCTCACTGACATGGTAGTCTAGCAAGCTGGCTTGCTTTGGGGATTCCTTTTCTTTGCCTCCATAGCTCTGATATTACAAGCAGGCTGTCTCACCCACTTGACATTTCTGTGGGTTCTGAGGACCCAAACTCTGGTCTCCATACATTTCTAAATTTCTTTTTAAAGTGGCGTGGACAGCTGAAAACCCAACTGTGTAGATTGCTTTTCAAAGATGTAATTACTCATTTTATCTCTTCCCATTAGATGTGTCTATTAAAACAGGCGTGCTAAGAGTTCTTCTATTTACTGTAATTTTGTTGCTTTGGAGCACCTTGGGAATTCACACAGCCTGCTGTATTTATAGTTGATCCCCCTGTTTCCATGGATCTCAAACTACTAAAGCAACAACAACGGGGCTGGCACTGCATGTTTTTATGCCCAATAAATTCCCTACTTAAACTCACCCCATCTTTTCCTAAGTCCATCATCCAATGCAGACTTTCCCAAAAGATAAAAAGAAGACACACCACTCAAAAATGTAAGGCAATTATGTAATATGTAATGTGAGTCCCAAGACAATCACTTGAATTAACTGTGGGTGTGGGATGGAAGGCAGGTGAGGAGGCACCAGGGCTGTCTGAACAGGAGGTGATGGGGAAAGACAGTACCAGTCCATGCACACATCCCCCACATGCAAACTCGGCTCAACCCCGGTCCACATGAATCCCTAACCCCTGCCTGCTGTCCTTGAGATTTAACTCAGGTCTGACCTGCACAGCCTGGAGATCCTGGGCCACTTTCCTGAGAGGTCGTTGTTGTGATCTGCATCTCCCCTGGACTGTGCTCCACACTCACGTGCGGGCTGTTCCCCCCCCCCCCCCCCCACTGAGACTGTACTTCCAGGTCCCTGCTGACCCTCCTGCTGCACTGAGGTGCAGGGACTCAGAGAGGGCAGGTCCTTCACATCTCTCAGGCTCCATTCAGCCCTCGTCACTCCCTAAGCTCCCTCCTCTACCTCTCCACCTGTGGGTTCTTATCAGACACAGCACATCCCAGTCTCCCTCCTGAAGAGCGTCTCTGCAGGCTGGGTGTCAGCTCACTGAACCTCCCTTTCTGCTGAATGTCAAGCCAGCAATCCAACACTGTGTGGAACACATTTAAATCTGTGGGTCTGTTCTCTGCCCCTGAGTTATTAGTTTCCAAAAGAGGGTATTATTTTTTCTCATTCTTTGTTTCCTCAATTAATTCTGTGCCGTGCATCTTTAAGGAACTCGAAGGTAGTCTGAATAAATCAATAACATTTTATTCCTCTGAACAATTTCTCATTTCAACGACAATAAAAAGTCTTAATAGGAACTGTCATTTCTCCTTCCCTCATTTGTTTTTGTTTATTGAAGCTGTGCTGGATAGCACAGGGCTGGGAGGAAGCTGAGCCCACATTCTGCACACACTTGGGAAGCATGCTCAGTAATGAGTAGGTCGTTATTAAAGACAGATGTGGACATGACGGCCTGAAACTACTGAATGAAGTAGTCCGCAGTAAGCTTCATGCTGGCAGACAAAGTAAGTTCAGGGGCTGTGGCTGCAGCAGTGTGTGTGTGTGTGTGTGTGTGTGTGTGTGTGTGTGTTGGTTTGGAAAGCTTCTAACTTTTTTAACCAATTTATATTCTTAATGACACTGAAATGAAACAAAAAAGAATATTTTATGAGGCCCAACAGGATAGAATTAAAAGCACACCCTCCTAGAGAGAGGAGCTAGATTTCTCCTGAAAAAACTATTGCAGGCGCCCCCCAGGATTGTTCTTTATCGCTTCTGAGTGTAAAAATGCTCAGAGTTCAAGTCCACAGAAAGACTACCATTAGACACATTACAAAGCATTGGTGAGAATACAATAAGTATGAAAAAGAAGCTGAGCTCATTGGGGGAACGGACAGGAAAAGACGTGAGCATTTATGATCTTCTTGCGAGTCACTGTTTCTTGATACAGTGAGTCCAGGACGATGAGTTAGTTCAAAACAGCCAGGAAGAAATTCTTGTGTCCCACAAAGTTACCAGATATGCAACTGATGACATCCTCAGTATTAGTCTCCATTTGTTAAACATAAAACGTATACTCAGGATGATAATTAAAAACTTAAATTTGATGTTACAGAATTGAACAGTAGACCAAGTTGCCTCTTGATGATGAGCTGCAAACACCATCTTCCTGGGAGGGAGGGCAGATTCTGTAACAGGGACACAATTTGCTTTGTGTTTCCAATGTGCAAGCCAACCCTCTCTGGCCAACCAGACGCAATCACATGGTATTTGTGTGTCTATCTGCATACTTTTCAGTTGAGTGTGACTGTGACTTGCAGGACCACAAAGGGACTTAGAGAATCTTTAATTTCATATTCTAACCAGTTGGCCCTATTTGTTTGCTTTGAATCACTCGTTTCAATAAGGCGAAAACGTGTGCTAATCCTCCATTCATCAGGCGCCTGGGTGCGTGTGAAATGGATCATGTGGACAAAATAAACCCCTGCCAGACGCAACCTGCCTTTGTCCCCTAAGCTGCTTCGAGGGGACCCTTCACAGGTACCAAGAAGCCATTCCGGCCACTTCACGTGCTTTTGAAGACCCTTCCCTTTTTCAGGATTCGCACATTACTCAGGCACAGAAGAAAAGCTAAAAGCGGGCGTCAGATGAAGGGAGAGCTGAAGGAGCTGAACTCATTTTCCACACACAGAGATAATTGGCACGGCAGTAATTTTGGAGAGCTGAATTAAATGAATAAGTTGTGACATGGGAAAAACTGAAAAGGACAGCAGTGTTCTGGCTCGCACAGAATCGCTACCTTGGTAAGCGTTTTTCTTGAAGACCAATTGATAAAACAGGACAAAAATGTTTTTCCCCATTAATTGCTTTCAAACACTGTCCCGTTAAACACCCAATTAAAAGGCAGAAGTGTGGTCCTCTGTTTGCCTCTAATGACTGTTTTAAGAGGCTGGGGTGGATGGAGAGGAGGGATGGGAGAGGAGGAAGGGAAATAATGGAAGAGTCTAGCATTCTCTTTCATGGGCTGTAGAATAAAAAGATCAATGAAGAAGGTTTATCACGGCTCCAGTCCACGAGAGCCTCAAACACAACAGAACTGCATACCTCTTCTGAAAGGGGCTTCTTTAGAAATGGCATATCTAAACGCATTTGCACACACAACTGAGAGGCCAGGTTAATGGATGCACAAGAAAGTATTTGGTCAGCTCCAAATATCTGACATCTGACATTTATCAAGCAATTCCAAATTGTGACAGTCTAAACATTGCTTTAGGTTGGAGGTAAAAGAGGCAAAAATTAAAAAGTAAGCAGGATCGGTTGTGTTTGGCTCACAGTAGGAATTTGATAAAAAAAAAAAAAACAGAAGAGGGCTTTAATGTGGCTGCCATTCTGGGAGGGGGCGGCCAGAGTAAGGGAAGAGGAAGGGTCAGTTTACTCTCAGCATAGCCAACCAACACTTACTGCCTCCCGTTCTCTTCCTTCCCGGCTTCCCAACCATGGAATGAGACAAATGAAGACAGTAAATCATGAACTTTATTTTGTAGAGCATCAAATGATTTGGGAATGATGAGAAGGAGTTGAACAAACTTAGTCTGTTTCTATGAATTCTTCGTGATTCAACTCAGAAACGTTACCAGTGCCAAAAAGATCTTAAGAACACGAGATGTCGCATCAAAGTTGTTCTTTAAGGTAGCACCTAGTACTTTAGTGATGAGTGTTCAGGAGTTGGGAGAGGGTGTCCTTAAACCAACAGAGCCTAGACAGTGAGGTCTGTATGTGACATAGTGGCTCAGAGTTGTGCAATGTCCCCTGTAGATTTGAAGTTTTGTTTAGCCAACAAACATCAGTGTTAGTGAAAATGACTAGTGTCTCCTGGATTCTGGCTGCCTGCAGGATTGCTTTAAAGCACATTTCTTTTGTGAGCTCACTGATTCACATAAAGCCTATTGGGGTGTGTATGTGAGCCCTAATGTGATTCTTATCTCATAGCTGAAAAATCTGGAGTCCCAAATATAAAATAGAATGCTCACGCACACAGCCAATTCTTGTTGGATTTTATGACTATCCAAAGATGCTGTGCAAGGTGATCACCTTGTCATTAATTTATTCCTTTAAAATGGTGTGTTTACACAGATGTTGGCTCAGGTCCACTTGGGAAACTTTAGAATACAGTGGATGGGATGGAAAGAAAGATGGCGGGGGCCATTATGTGTCACATATGGGGCACTTGGTCCTAGCTGCCCTCTCCTGAGTTGTCAAAACCAGCATGGTGGCTCATGGAGGCGTTCTCTTCAGGAATTCACCCGAGGGTGTCCTAGATGGCATGGCAGAACTGAACACGGCAGTGTCAGTACACAGGACAAACACCATGCTGCTTTTGAACTGTATCCATAGAAGTTCTGAGAATAGGGGTGAGCATGCCACTGTGTACCAGGACAAATTGGTCAGTTCACAGCATAACCAGTAGTGAAGGCGTGGCTTCACTGGCTCCCAGGTCATTCAGAGAAAAGCAGATGCCAGAAACACGCATGAAGTGTCCTGGCAACGTGACCATGGAAACAGGACGGGGACTGGGGGCCTCTCAGGGTGACATCTTCTGATACCATCCACTTTCTGCTTTAAACAGCTTGGATTTGAGCTCTCTCTCTAATACAGTGTCTGAGGCACCATCTTTGGCTCTGTCTTTACAAGAGGAAGTGGCAAAACAAACACCCACACAGACAAATCTTGGTGAAATCTGAGCCTCCACACAGCTTCAGTGCCACCCACAGCTGGACAGCAAAATGGCAAAGTCTCCAGATTCTGCGAGTAGGCAAATGCAAGGTGCCAGAATCAGGAGTTCTGGAATTTCAGCGTGTCTCTCCTCTTCCAATCCTCAATGTCTGTCAGAAACACAGGAAATGGAGCAAATGTCTGCTTCTGGGACCTCTCACTGGCTTCTTGCAAGGCAGAAGTGAACGTTTTTTGCATGAGCCAGTAAGTGTTCGAGTACAGCCATCCGCAGGCACTGGATCAGGCTGTGCTGATGGGATGCTCCTAGCTGTCCATGCTGGGGTCTGAGACCTCACCATGAAAGCATCACAGCCACAGAGACAGATGAGCGTCTGCCATCCTGAGACATTGCATGATTGAGAGACCAAGAGGAAAAAACTTGCAGTGTTTCATCTGTGACCCTGCGATTCCTGTGTAGGGCAGGGAGAAGGGGTTTCTGGGGACTCTAGGGTAACTGGGTGTGCTCTGGGTTGAAGTCAGGGTCAGAAGTAATGGGTGTTGAGCTGCACACTTTGGATTTGTGCAAACATTTGGCCTTAAGCTAACCCACTACCAGGAAGGCTGGGGGATGGTAGACTCATGCAGGCTGAAACACCACCCCAGGCTCAGTTGCAGCCATCCCTGGCTATATGATGTTATTATGTCACACTGGGGGCATTTGTGCCTGATGCCCCAGAAGAGAGCCAGCACTTTCATGAGTATTTTCCAGACTCCAGGTCCTACCCCTCAAGGACAAAGAGGCTCCAGGGAAGGAAAGTCAAATGCAAAGTGTCTCAGGAGGTGGAGGCCATACAAAGAAGCCATAGGGCCAATACTGGCGGTGAAATGCGGCCCACCAGCATGTGAGAACAAGACAGCAGGAGGACCGGCATGCAGAGAGAACCCTGAGAACTGGGGCTGTGGGGTAACCCTAAGTCTCATCACAGTGACTTGGAGGGTAACAAGGAGGATAACAAGGATAGCTTATTGTTGTGAGTTATGTCTGAAATCATAAATGCGGAGATGGAATGTGTTATTTTTCCCAGATGTGTAAATTTCATATTCAGAATAATTTCTCTGCTTCTTTCTGAATTGAAATACCTTTTTGTTTGTTTGTCGATTGGTTTTAGTGAGAAAGCAAACCAGGCGTGGAAAAGCCAGGCATGGAGGGACACCATAGCTATGCTAGTACCTTGAGGCAGCGGCAGGAAGATCAGAGGTTCAGCTACATGAGTCTGAGGACAGCTGGGTTACACAAAACGGTTGTCAGGGTCGTGAGGTTGAGGTCCCAGCTGACATTCCCACAGCAAGGCTGGAAGCTTCTGTTCCCTGAGCTGTGTTATAGATCCAGAGGGAGGTGGGGCATGCTGGGCTCTGTAGGGCATATGCAGTGGGAAGTAGGGACAGGGAATCTTCCCTCAACCACCTCAAAGACAGAGGCAGCCCATGTTCTCAACTGTCCTGGGGTTGTGCAGATGGAATCTCTTCGGGTTCTGGGCTACATTCTGAGAGGTACACAGGCTTGCAGCTCACCAAACTGGTCAGACTGGGTGCAATGGGGAGACCGAAACTGATACTGAAGGAAAGCATGTCCCTAAGGTGCAGATCCTCACTAAACAATCTCATCAGTGACCTTATTTCCCCAAGAAATCCCAGGCTTTTCATCAAATCACCTGGAATTCCTGTCACACTCAAGATAAACCTTAAGAGCGAGCCATTCAACAACACTTGCATTTAAAAGGACCTCATTAAAACAACTATTTATTAAGGTCCACAGTTCAGAAATAAATTTAGGAACTAAATTAACAGAAAAGAAGATGAGGGGAAGGGATAATTACCACAACACGTCTCAGAGAGCGTTATTTAATTTACCATAATAATAAGAATTATGAGCTCTGCACATTTGCAATTTCTTAGCTATTTAGTTTGCCATGAAACATTAAGAGGAAATAAAAGAGGAGCAAAAAGAATAATTGAGTACAGAACATTATAATGAACTGTTGATGCCCCATTCCCATTACCAAATTGATTGATACTGGAATTCATTGTTCTATCACCTATTTATACACACTTAAAGGGGCCATGCCACTTGCATCATTAAAACTGATAGAGATGCATGGGGTGCAGGAATTCTGGAGGAGGTTCTGGAATGTGGGGACAGGGTGAGGGTGCTGGGTGGGATGTTCCATGAGTTGCTGAGGAGCCTAATCATCACACCATGCTGGCTGGCAACATCTGGCACATGGCATTTCCTATAAACACAATCTCGACTTTGTCCCTGCTTCATTGGCCTTTTGGGGCTGGACCTTTTGGGACCCCAGTATCTGGTGGATCTCATTCTATCTCTGCTTCATGAGCATTGCTTGGGGATAATTGTCTGAGCCCTAATTCACAGGTCAGACCCCTTGATGGGAGATTTACATGGGTCACTTATAAACTTTGGTTCCAAAGTGTGAGGCTGCATGTTATTGTATTAAAAGGTGCTTATAGAAACATGAATCCCTTATTACAAATGATCTGCATTTTAATAATTTATTTGTGATTCAATTATTTTACTTTAAATAATTTCCCCATAAAAGTGGGATTATAAATGCAGAAGAGGCTGTTAGACTATCCTGAGGCTCATTTCAACCAACCATACAGCTACCAACTCCAACAAGGAGTAGAGATGATGGTGACAATATCACTCTTTTTTAAACATAAACATTTAAGCATTAACAACAATGCTCTGAGCTTCAGCTTAGCACCATCACCTTTATCTGGAGATAGTCTAAAAATAGATCACCTCCACAGAGGGGAGGAGGTGGTCACACTTGCTAGGAAGGGAGTTTCCAATCCTAACCAAATCCTTGAGAGCTCCAGGCACGGATTTTTATTCTGTGAAATACATTATGTGTGTGATTTTTTTAAAACCATGTGTCATCTACTGCTAAAAACCAAGCTCTCTTCTTCTTCTATTTGTTACCTCATCACCACTGGGTGCAATTTGTCAGGGATTCCTATATCTCTACTCTTGAAACAAAGTGTCTCATTGGAGATGAACACCTGTTGCTTTACAGACTGTGCTGCCAGCTCCAGAAGCCATCTCTGTGATTGCTGGCTCTGCCACTTCCTGATCAGTTTCTACTTCACAAATCCCTCCAGCCAAACCTGAGCTCCCTTCCAATGATACCCACCTACCTGCAAACATCCCAGAGACACTGCCGCTGGTCCCCTTCGTAGTTACTTGTCTGTTGGACCCTGATTTCCCTTCCTCTGTGGCACTGGCATGGAGTAATACTTTAACAAGTAGTAATGTCCACTAAAACACACATCTGAAGAGGTCTCACCACGCAGAAAGGTATAGTGCATCATTGTCTGGTATACCCATGGCCTCTGTCTCATACTTTTGACCAGCATGCACATGTGAAAGAAACACTAAGAGTGAAAGTGTTTCATAAGGAAATTGTATTAGTGCTTCACCCCCTTCCCAGCCCAAAGATAGCAAACCCCATTTTCAATGCATTTGTTGCCAATTCATTCTCAAATTTTCTGTCAGCCACAATTACTCCATATGATGAGCAAGACAGGGGATCCATCTCTTCCCCTGCCCATCCCTGTCATCTCCAGGAGCCTACCATGTGGAAGGTAGTTTTCCTGTTCCAAAGTCACTCCCAAGTAATCACTCAGAGGCTTATATTAATTGTGAATGCTTGGCCAGTAGCTCTTACATTTTAAGTTAACCCATATTCCTTATGTATGCTCTGCCATGTGGCAGTACCGTTATTAGAGCTCATCTCTTGTTCCCTCTGCATCAGGCCGGCATCTCACTACTCCTTCCCATTATCCTCAGTTTGGTCGTCCCGCCTATACTTCCTTCCTGGCTACTGGCCAATCGGTGTTTCATTATTCCAAGTCAAGTGTACCGTGTACAAGAGGATTATTCCACACATTGCACTGCCACCTGCCCTAGTAGGACTGAAGGGAATAGTTCCCTTGAGCCCAGTCCTTCAGCTGAGAATGTCCTACCATGTGGGTGACCTCCAGTCTATCATGGGTCCAGATCCCTTGACTCTCCTTCCTTGTACTACCCTCTTGTTTCAAGGAATCTTGTCCTCTAGAGTCTTGCCCTGGGCATTTTTGAGGGTTCACATGTCCTTCTCATACGTCACTGGCACGACCACATGACATTTTAGTTTGATAACATATTTCTTGAAGCATTTCTTGAAAGGCTTCCAACCTGCCAGCTCAGCTGCCTCAGGAAATGTGATTCAGGATCTGTGCACGTACTTTTTGTCTCCTGTCTTGAGACTTCATTGTCTTTTCTCACTCCCTCCTGTCCCCTCGGTTCAGTAACAGTCATCTGGAATTTTAGTTTCAAATTTTGTTGTTTGCTTTTTCCATTGTATATTATTTCTTCTTCCTCATCATTCCTCCCCGATAATGAGATTGATGACTACCTTATATGCCATCCTAGAGCCTTCATCCAGTGGCTGATGGAAGCAAGACAAACACCCACAGTTAAACACTGAACTGAACTCCTGGAAACCAGTTGCAGAGAGGAGGAGTGATGAGGAAAGGGGTCTAGAATGGGCAGGTGAAACCCATAGAAACAGCTGACCTGAACAAGGGGGGAGCTCATGGACCCCAGTCTGATGGCTGAGAGGCCAGCATGGGACTGATCCAGACCCCCCTGAACGTGGGTGTCAGTGAGGAGGCCTCGGCAATCTTTGGGGACTCGGATACTAGATCAGTATTTATCCAGGCATCCAAATGGACTTTGGGAGCCCATTCCACATGGAAGGATGCTCTTTCAGCCTGGACACATGGGGGAGGGTCTAGGCCATGCCCCGGATGATATGACAAACTTTGGAGATCCCCCACGAAGGGCCTCACCCTCCCTGGAGAGTGAAGTGGGAATTGGGTGGGGCGTTGGGGAGATTGGTGGGGGCCAGAGGAGGAGGGGAGGGTGAGGGAGCTGGGATTGACATGTGAAGCAAGCTTGTTTCTAATATAAATTTTTAAAAAACTCAAAAAGAACACACACACACATTGAACAGGCATCAAATCCCAGCTCCCAAATATAAACTTTGAATACATTATCTCATGTTCGTTTGTGGACACTGCTAGAAATGAGCTTGGGGACATTCTGATCATGGAGGAACTACAAGCCCGGGATATGAGGTGGACCTAGAATCTCTGAGTTGTGTCTGGTCTGATGCATACAGCATCCCAGGCCTCTCCAGTTGACAAAGAGCCTTTACTTAGATCTGCCTTCTGGTGTGTCTTTGAGCACATCTCCCTGTTAGTTTTGTTCTTTTCTTGTCTTTGATTCTGTTTACATTGTCTTCTGGGAAAGAAACTGCTGTGGTTTAGATGTCCCAAGAGCTTGGTACCCAAGGAAGTGACATGGGAGGCAGAGCCTAGTAGGAGGTAGCCTCAGGGCACTGGGGTGTGCTCTCGCTCCGAAGGAGGGGCTGGGGGCACCCAGCCTCTCTGGGTTTGTGATTTGTAGTGCAATTTCTTCTAGGCACATACTCTTCACCAAGATGCTACCTGACAAAATCCAAGCCAATGAGCCACTTAGTATCTCAGCCCCAGAAACTGTGAGCTCAGCAAACCTTCTTAGCAGCCTTCCTTTGGTATGTCATTATTGTTGGGAAATATTATTTTAAGGTGTGTTGCTTTTGTTTATGCTGCATTTGTTTAACTCTGTGAAGCTGTGTTACTGTGCCTGTCTAAAACAACTGATTGTTACTGAGCTTAACTCAAGAAAGCCAGTAACAGAGAGGGAGGACTGATGACCAAAGGGATTAAGACTGGGCTGGTTTAACCCCCAGAAACAGCTGACCTGACAAAGGTTAACTCTTGAATCCCAGGCATCAGCCTGGGAATCCAGCATGGGACCGATCAAGACCCCCTGAATGTGGGTGTCAGTGAGGAGGCCTAGGGAATCTATTGAGCCTTGGCAGCAGATCAGTACCCATCCCAAGTATACACACGGACTTTGGACTCCCATCCAACAATGTGAGGTGCACTCTCACCCTGAACTCTTGGGGGGAAGGTCTAGGCCCTGCCCTATATGAAATGACAGACTATGGACACCCCCATGGAGGGCC